TAATTTAAACCTTTATGCCACCATTTCAGTTGCAAGATAGTGCTTTTTTATTTATTTTTTTACTTGGTGTAATGTGTTTCAACAAAAAAAATTTTTTCCTGTCAGTAACTGATTCTGAGGGGATTCCTGGGTGTTTCACTTGGCTCATATCAATCTTTCTATTTACAGGCTGGTTTTGTACTACTGTACATATTTCAGTCTAGTTCAGTACATGCAAGCAAAGCTGGCTGGCTGTCAGAGTGCTATATTACTAAAGTTGACTGGAAGGGAAAATGAGAGGGATGACTGCAACCTTGGGAGGATTGTTAAGAAGAGTTGACTGAAAAACTTGGAAGATCTTCACAAGGACTGCTAGTGCACCAAGAGCAGGCACGGACAGGAAAGGAGCTGCAACTGTCACATTCCTGGCTCCATATTGTCACATACGGAGCCACTATTGAACCAGAGAAAACACTTCCCTACTCAAAGTGTCAGCTCCCTCCACAGATTTCCTATAGGACTGAAGTCTGGGGACCTTGTGGGTGTTGCAAGATTTCAGTCCATTACTGATAGTGTGTTACCAATGGTGTTCTTGGTGACTGTGGTCTCTCCCCATTGTATAAGCCACAATTGTCAAAATTAAAATAAAAGGCTTGAAATATTTCCGCCTTTTCATGAAATTCTGCTTTATTTAAATGCACCGATATATATTTTCAGAAAGTATTAGCTCGTTCATCCTCTTTGTGAAGTGTATGCCTGCCGGTTCGACCAACACTTCAGTCCAAAGTGAACTTGGTCATTAATAATAAAAAGCCTGCCATGAAAATTACATGTTTATGGTAACCAGGGGATGATTCCCAGACCTTTTTTTTTTAAATCAACATACAAGAATTTTTCCACTACTTTGACATACTTTGATTAAATGAATTGAATAACGCAGCCTTTGGTAGGTTGCCAGGTTTGTATTGTAAATACAGCGCAAGCAATACATGCTCAGCATCAGCAGAGGATTGCCATAAGTATAGTAGCATTTAGCTTTAAGATTTAAGAACAGTTGTTCTTAAGTGCAGTTTAAAAAAAAAAGTATGAAACAAAACATTTTATGACGGTCCTTAATTACATGCGAGGAAATGTAACCTTCATAAATGTTCATCATCTGAATAAATGTACTAGAATCACAGCTGAAAAACAGTCATGATCAGAGATGAAATGAGGATTGTCAAAACAGATTCCAGATCAGCCTGGAGGCCGTCTGTTTAGCTTGATTTCTGTGCCTGTCTGTTGGGGCTCTGGATAATGTTACAGCACGCTTCACTCATAGGATGCTTCAATATCTGCAAGGCGTCGGCCCGCCCACTTCTTCCTCCTGGGTGCTTCCTGTGTTGCCCAGATAGGCAGCCAAATATGGGGTCATAGTGTAACAGATGATCTGCATGTAGACAAGGAGGTGGTTTTGTGGCATATTTGTAGCTTAAATTTCCTCATGTCAGCATCTTTCCTGTGAGATTGCACAAACACTGGCTGTTCAGTGCAGCAGGCTGGCAATGTTTAACTGTCAAGCTGTTTGCTGTGTTATTATAAAAACATCAGCAGTTATGAGACAGGTGCTATATCTCAGAAAGACCAGTTTTTGTGTTGTAAAACATCACAAAGCTCAGAGATTAAGCGATGGTCTTTTAACTTTACCATTTGCAGAGATGAAAACAAATGACCCCATTTCTTCTGGTCCTATGCCTTGGGATAGTTTTGTATATTTGTCAGACGGGGAATTTGAGTACAAAACTGTGTGGGAAGAAGATGCCAATCTAACAAAGAGAGTAGTAGTAGTCTGCACGCTATGATTAAATATGTCCAGCTGAACAAATAAGCACTCTGAAATTTTGTGGGAAGAGTTTTGCATGAAAAACCCTGTCCTCCGAAACCACCGGCAGAAGCAATTTTAAATTAGTACCATAAATAACAGCCTTAGGACATCTCGAGGTACTTTCCCTTTACCCAAAGGAAGCAATAAGCCTTAAGAATTCTTAAGATTTCTTGACAAAGACCAGGGTCACGATTTTCCACTTGGCCACTCTGAAATCCTGTTTTTAAGAAAGAAAAACTGCAGCTGTAGCCCTTGTCATACACTATAGTGATGTTCAGCAGATTTTTCCCATCATGCATCCTTAGGTTAATTATGGCCACTTAAAGATTTGTCAGATTTAAAAACATAAAAGCTTTTTAGTTTAAAAATAATTCCACTTCATTCAGCTGTAGTCCAGAATTCTTCCTGGTACATGCTACACTGGTGACTGAATGCGGCCTTTTGTTAAAGCCTCACAGGTTTTGCTTATTTGACGCTCCAAACATCATGGCAAAAAGGGGAAAAAAGAGAGACATACAGCAGACTCCTGCTGCATTCCCAGTTTTATTGGTGACTGGGAAAGCGTTAACATCTTGACACGTAAAGAATTCAAGTCTCAGCGACAGTTCAGTCATTATGGTGAGAGATGTGTTTTGGCATAACGTCTCTGTAAACATTGTCCTACTTCTGTTTAGTCTTTTAGCTCGTGGTAAATATGTTAAGGCTGCACATTGTGTTTGGTTCTCCGCTGTTCTCATCTTACTGTACTTCTGGTATTTAAATAGGTCACAGCGGAGCCACAACTGTCATGCTCAACAGATGGAGCATGTCAAACTGAAAAAATGTCTTTGGGGAGCTGACCTCGCTCTTCCGAAAGACCAGATCACAGTAAAACATTTTTTTTTTAAAAATCCCTTCTCTTAAGCCCAGAGCTCCGAATGACCAGTGTTCAACATGTCAGAGCGAGTGTGTATTCCTAGAGAGCTCAGTGATCCAGCTACCTCTGACAACGCTGTTGCCGTATTCTCATTTTATTCATCCAATGCAAAACAAAACATATCAGGCAACGTTGTCTTTGTGTTGTGAATAACAACACAGTTGCATTGGCGCACAACTTCCTCCTACGAATGAAATGCTGCCTTTGTTTTGCCCCAGTATTTGCATAATGGCCATATTCATGCAAGTAGCTTTCCTCATGTTTCAAAGAAAAGGTTACCAATAACCCCGAACTGACCTTTAATGCCCATATTAAGCTGGAGCTAACATTACAGCCTCTTAAAGCTGGATGACAGACAATCTACCACTGGACAGCACTTCCCCATTGAAAGGTTAGAGGACAGTAAACTTTCTCTTCCTTGTTGCTGCTTTAAGCTTGCTTCATCAGCTTCCTGTAAAACAGTTCACTCAAATGACACACGGACATTTTCTCTCTTACGCCAGCATTTTGGAGGCGAGAGAAGTTTTGTCTGTCACTGCTCATTTCAACAGAGGACATTTCCCTTTTACAAGCTTTGAGGGGATTGGTATTTGGTCCATAAATGGACAAAGTGTCCACTAATGTTTGGACATTCTTCAAAACTGTTTAAAAAGCAAAAAGTACTCCCTTCACACTTGGAAGGCAAAAAAAAAAAAAAATATTGCACCTTACACTGCACTGCAGCAACTTTGCCAAAAATGACTGCCATACAAGTCCTTTATGCTTAACCAGTGCTATCATTTTGTCATTGCTACTGCATGCAAGTGTAGCAGAGGTAAATAAAGTCATCGTCTAAATTACAGAACAAGTCCTCATTAATTCTACAGTCCTGCGAAAACATTTTTACATGACTGTAGAATTTTAGGTACAGGCTAAGATTCAATAGCCTGTAAAACCACCTTCAGCAGCAATAACTTGAAGTTATCATTTTGTATGTGACTATCAGTCTCTCGTGTCGCTGTGGAGGAATTTGGCTCACTCTTCTTTACAAAGTTGCTGCAGTTCATTAAGATTTGCTGGCATTTCAGGTCAAGGTCTGGACTTTGGGCCATTGTAACATCCTGATTCTTTTCTTTTTTAGCCACTGTGTATATTTACTCTGGTGTTTGGGATCATTACCCTGCTACATGACTCAGTTTGGTTGAAGCTTTAGCTGTCGGACAGAAGGCCTCATCTTTGAGTCCTAGAATACTTTGGTATGTAATTGTTCATGGTTGAACTGCCCCCAAGGTGTCCATGGTGGCTGAAAAACAAGCCCAGATCATCACCCCTCCCCTCGCTGTGCTTTACAGTTGGTATGAGGCATTTGTGCTCACCAGTTGTGCACAACTGCCAAACAGCTCCACTTTGGTCTTGTCTGTCCAAAGGACATCGTTTCAGAAGTCTTGTGGTTTTGTTCAGATGCAACTTTGCAAACCTAAGCTGCGCTGCCATGTTGTTTTTAAGAAGAGGCTTCATCCTGGCAGCTCTTCCAGACAAGCCATATTTTAGTCTTTTTCTAATTGTACTGTCAGGAAGTTCAATAATCAGTGCGCTGACTGCACGTGTAGAGTCTGAGATGTAGTTTTGTTTTTCCTTTGGTTTGCAGGGTGCCCGCTCCTGGGAATTTTGCTGCATTGTGTTAACAAATCTAAATGGTCCAAACCAGCAAAGCTTATGCTTTTACAGAAGCACTCACACTTCCGAATGATCAATTAAATCAAGTGGGGTTTTTTTTGTTTTTTTATTAGCAGCACCTGGCTGCTACTTACCCTCTGAATTACTAAGAAAGCAGTGACGATGTACTTGGCTTTTTTGATGTTTTGGGGGGTTTTTTGTTTTGTTTTTAAAAACAGAAATGACTGGACTGCTTTCTATTACCTCATCATCATCATCGACTAAAGGTGCAACATCATCCAGTATCCGGCTGGGCGAAGGCTTTCAATTTGTTCCTTCTTCCAAATTTCTTTTACCAATGTGAAACACGTTGTGTAAATGTTTTGCTTCTTTCGTTTATTGATGACACTTTACTCCAGTTAGGACATTAGCACGTCCAGTAATAAAGGTGCACTGGTCATTGCATTACCTGAACAGTCAGTATGTTCACCAACATGTAAAGACAGTCAACTGTGAAGTCATTTCTGCCTACAGTGACAATTAGATCAAAGTGAGATCAATGCTGCCACCATGTGGTATACAAATGAACAACAAATAACACTTGTATATGTTCAGTCCACTTTATTTACAAAGACATTTCAATTAAGAGGCTGATTTGTATGTGAGACAGTCATACATTATATATATACACACACACACACACACACACCAGTGATTTACCCCAGTGTGTATTCGGTGACATTACAACAGAACAGAAAGTGCTTCAGTACACGTTAAAATTCATTTCCATACCAGAGTTACACGAATAGCCTCAAGAAATATCTGATAATTTTAACACGGCACACGGATCTGAAGACACTAGCATTAAGATGAAGGCGTAAATCAAACAGTTCCCATCATATCTTTATTTCATATATTAAATCTAACTTGGAAATAAATTAGCAGGAGAAAGGTGGTCAAACGAGGCACCACTTATCTCATTTAAAAAAAATAGAAGTATAGGTTCTACTTTGCCAAAACTCTATATAAAGTTTTACCGATGCTCAGGAAGTAGAAGCTGTGAATTGGCTGCGATTTCTTCTGTACAGCATAGCTTTGCTCAGAGACCCCCATGCCACTGTATTTACTCTTCAATCTGGAGTACAGCAAGCTGCTCACATGGGGGTGACTAAAATGCAAGTAAACATGGTACCTTGAAAAACAAGCTCGAATTTTTAAAGCTGTAAATATGTGACATCTTAAACACATTTTAAAGTATTATAAGAAAAGTTAGCTTTCAGTGAGTGATGGGTAATAATTCCAGTTTTTCTACAGAACAATAATTAAACAAAAAATTATTTTATAGACCAAGTCATGCATAATGCAATGTTAAAAAAAATGAAAAAGCAATCTGGAAGGTTAATAGAGGGACAGAAACTAAAGTGTGATTTTCATGTGTCACAATGACCAATACTTACACCTGAGTTGGAAATAGCAGCGTTCACAGAAGGGCTTCCTGTTTCGGATTTGAACCTGGGCTCCATTCTCTCTTCCTCCGAGATGTTGACGGCAGCCCACGCACTGAGGGGAGGACGGGGAAGTGAGAAAGGATTCAGGGACCATCTAAGACAAATCCAGCCGAGCTGTGACGTGGGTCTTTAGCGTCTAAATTATTTCACCAGACGGTCCGCCACCCGAGCACAGGATAACCAAGCTTTGTTTTGCGTAAAAACCCCACAGCATATAAATATCACAACAAGTGTGATGTGCATCTGTGACTTACAGGGAGGCAGAAGTGAAATTGCTTTTACATCTACATGCTAATGAACCAAGGCCAGCTAAATCTAGGGGTCCCCTGCCAGTGAGACTTTCACAGCAAGGATCTAAAAGCAAAGCAGGACAGCAGGTTGGCTTCTTCCACTATGCGCATAATAAGTAACTGAGAAAATAATGACAAACATAACAGTGGGCTTGACCACCACCCCCAGAAGCTTCACAGACAAAGAGACAGACTGGCTAATGAAAATAGATTCATGAAAGTGATAGAAACACTCCTCCTAGCAGATGCAAACTGATAACTATGATTGGAAAACAGACCACAGACATGAGACTCCTGCCAACCTCACAAAGCAAGTTGCAGTCACATTAGTCTCAACCCTAAAATTTTGTTCAGAATTAACCCCCAAAACACATACAGGGTTCAGTTATACTGGGTGTATGTTTTTCTTCTCTTAAATGTTCATTTTAACTGGGACCTGTTATATTAAGTAGGGCGCAAGAATAAAAACTGAAAATTGGAGTAGAACTGAAAATTTGCATAAGTCATGTACATATTAGGCCTCTGCATAAAACACGTCATTTTAGCGCCTCTCCCTTTAAATCAACTTTCTTCTGATAGGCTGTCCCTCGCAAACAGATTCAAACAGCAGATGGGTGTGGCTTCTGTTAAGCCAGAGCTGTGTGCTTGATATCACCATATTAAGATATACCTTAATATCTATCATATATCTATCATATCTATCATATATCTATCATATATCTATCATATATCTATCATATATCTATCATATATCTATCATATATCTATCATATAGATGATAGATACCCAGATGAGATCATAGATTAGAAAAAAAGGGGTCATAAATCTAAAGTTTAGAGGAGTCTGAGCATTTAGCTCACAGGGATAACTTGCACATGTATGCATATCCAAGTCCGAAACTTTACCTCTTTAGAAAAATATAAAATAAAATATGTACATCTACCATAGGGCAGAAAATAAGAAAAAAATTAAAATAGATCCACTACTGTGGTGGAAATCCTACACTCCGGCAGTATTGAACTTTGAAGTTCCAAAATTATGAGAACTTTGGTCAACACATAAGAAATCAGGACCAAGTCTCTTGTCTTGCAGGGGCAGCTTTCTTGTCTCTTGCCTACAGATTCTGCAGCATTGTATGCAGATTCACAGAAATTATTGCTAATAAGTCATCATGTGTTTTGTGCATCATTTGCCGTTTCCATTTTGTTGTTGCGTTCAGAGTTTAAGTGACTGAACTATAAGAAAATAAGTTCCGTGTTTCTATTGGCCAACCATGAACTCTGATCACATTTTAACTATAAAAAACTGAAGGACCTCATGTCAAAAATGGAATAGTTTCCTTAGAGATGAGGAGCAGTTGCAGCTATTTGCAGGTATTGGAGCTATTGTGACTGCACCTTAACCCAGGTAAACCCTCTCACCTGAAAACAGCCAAGGTGGAAGTAGAGACTAAGGGCCTCTATGACCATAGCTGGTCTACTACCAAGGATACGCCCACAGACAGAGCAATTCCTCCTGCCATTGACCATCCTGGGGCAGGCAAATGGTAACCAAGTAAGGCCAAAAATGTCTGTAAAGACCTTTTTTTTTTTTTTTTAAGTACATGTACAAGAGATGAAAGCTTGTAGTTTACATAGATGTGTACCTGGCCTGATGACAGGACTGTATGTAAGGATTTCTCAGGGATAATACTGATCCAGTGCTGTATCGCGAAGAGGCATTCCTACTCGGTGTAACGTAACCTGCAGCAGCCGAGTGTGGTCGAGGGTAACTATAGATTGAGGATTGGGGCTGACGCAAATTATCAAGATTATCCAGAGAGTCATATCTGCAGGTAAGAAATCACAGTAGTAGAAGAACAATTGGAAACACACGGACTGAAAAACAGGCCATTGGGCAATGAGTCCAATCTTAAATGCAGCTTGGCTGAGGTCTCACCTTTTCAGAGGAAGCCCAACAATCATGGGATCCTTGTAAAAGCTGCTGCTGCGCTGACGTATCCAGCTGTTGTCAGTCAGAAGCTGAGTCCTTTTCTTCATCTCCTCTAAAATCTGCTGCCTTTCTTTCTCAGCCTTGGCCACAGACAGTCCTTTTCTTTTACTCTGATCCCCTGAACAAAAGCACGTTGAACGGGTTAGAGAAGTACATCTCCAACACAGAAATGGATAATATAAGAGGAAGAGCTAAACTCACCTCTAGAATACTTGTGAGGCCCAGCTAATACTGGGGAAGACAAGGACTTTGTCCTATGGGAACAACAAAGTCTGCATTATTCAACCCTGAGAGCAATTTTTAATTCAAGTCCACAATATTTTGATGTGATTTTCTTTTATTTCTTTTAAGAAATTGTGTTTTGAGTCATAAATCAAGCATTTGTTAAAAGTGTTTTTCTCTAAAAGAAAAAACAATCAATTATCTACCTTTATAATAGCTTAATTTACAAAAATCACTGAAGTGGTGTGCAAAACCTGGACCTGTGTGACTAAAACTACAAATACAGTGGAAATTGGACCAGGCTTGATCTGACCTGTGTGCAGGGGACAGCTGAGCAAAGCCACATGAGCCATCAGCCCTTAGGTACAGCATTAGCAGAAATAAGGCCCAGCAAAAGCAACAGGAGGCACAGCAGAAACAGCAGTGATGATGATTAAAAAATGCTTTAGAACGTTTTGCAGATGAGACTCTTTGTAATAAACATGCTCTTTGTACCACATGGATAAGAGCAGCATTAAGAAAGAAGCAAAGCTTTATTTACCAGTCTTGTTGGGCAACCATCTCATTCTGCACTTCGTGTGCATTACTTTGCCGTTTTGGCCCCAACAACTCTTTCAGCTTTTCTCCATCAGTGCTCTGCTCTTCTTCTCTGGTTTTCTTCGGCATTGCATTCTCTTGCTGCTGGGTCCTGGCGAGGCCCACATCACCAGAGGTCACCTCAAAGGTTTTCTGGCTCTGAGACATGAATATTGTACGTGTAGAGTATTTAGAAAAAGAAAAACAACATAACACTGATAAAAGTGAGCAAAATAATTCAGTGCGGTGTCAGTGTCAGAGCTGCTGACTGAAAATGCAACATTATAGTGTAACCAGTGTAACCTCAAAATGTAGTAAAATGTCATACATTAGGATCTTTATAAAAAAAAAAAACTTCCCTTCTTTGGTGCCTTATTAAGGAAAAAACTATTATAAAAACTGCTGTAAAATGAAAGCGACATTACCCCTGACTTCTTGGGGTCTATTACATCCCGTTGGTCTCTTCGCCACTCTGCCTCCAGCCTCTCCTGGTCCCGCTGATATTTCTCCTAAAAACAAATCCAAAAACACCAGAGCACTTTAATAAAATTGAACTGAACTTCAAGCATATGCTCCTTAGTTCTGTTTGAAAGAGGCTTCACCTGTAGGAGGCGCTCCTGTTCTTCCTGCCACTTCTCCTGTCTCCTGCGATCCTCCTCAAGGTCCCAAGACCAGCTGGATGAGGGGGGGCTGAGCGATGGCACCTGGAGCTGGTGATGCACAGACAGACTAAGTTCAAACGTGATGACACTGCAGTACATCAACTCTTTAAACACACGCAGGTGACATATTTCTGACTGTGCACATCCTTTAATCAAATAGTACAGAAACTTACATCAGATATCGCAGATTCTGACCCTCCTGTGAGAGAGAATAATAGTTTAGGACCTGCTTAGTGTTTTGTTTTTTCCTAGAGTAGAGTAGCATCATGCAGGTCTAAACAGATGCAATTACTGGGGACACATTAGAAGATTAAGGAAGACTGGAGAAAAATGTAGTGGATATTTGATTTTGTTCCTGCTTCAGTCAGGAAAGCTCTGCTAGAGGCCTTCATCTGGCCAATCCCAGACAAGCTATA